AGAATAGACTTTTGTTACAAAGGAGGAAGCATCTGTGACGGCTTCCATAAGCCGGTAGAAGACATCACCTGAAGGGCCCCCCCGAAGAGCCGTGCGGAGCATCGTGGCGAAACGCCGACAGTGAGAGCGTCAGCCAAAGCGGGACGGAATTGCAGGCACCACCACAACAGCAAACGTGGCCTTCATCAGCGCGAGCCCGGCCAGCTCCCTGCTAGGAAAACATGCCTTATCCACAGGTTACAGAATAAACACAGATGCAGCAAAATGAGCCACCCGAGGAAAACAGAAATTCAAATGGGAGGCAAATGAAGCTTTTTGCACATGCGTGACAAGAAACCCATTGAGCAAAACTAATTTTATGTCTGGGCTGGAGCAGCTGTCTTGCATGTTAAAATTAAACAGATGACAATGGAAGGAAAGAAATACAGAGCATCAGATTCCAGAAAAAAAAAAAAAAAANAGAGAGAGAGAAATCAAAAAATTCCCCCAAATAAAAAAGGACCTATCCCCAAGAACTTTATCTCCTAAAGAAAAGAGTATAAATGATCCAGCAACATCAAAAATGTACAAGAGGAAAAATTAGATTTCATACAAAATAAACATTCCTGCTTCTTCTGCTCATTTCTAAAAATGTTAGATCCCTTTCAGAGAGGCTTATATTAATACATTTTACTTCCCATTTGCTGCCAGCAAAGGACGCACTGTGTCATACACTACATCACAGCTGACAGGCAGTAACTGATTAATCCACTGTAACTCCGCTGTGGTACGCACAKTGTGTCTTCTCACACCAATAAATCTTACTTTATTTCAAATAGCAAAGGTGACTAGTGCCACCCCAGTGACCACCCCAGGCATACAGAAAATAACAGATTTCCAAGTCAGAAATATAGCAGGAACACATTATACATACATACATATATATATATATATATATTTTAAGGAGGACCAGGGTTGGTTGCAGAGTCAGACAATTATTGTGGATGGTTGTGCTTTAGCTACACAGAATAAAAAGCCASGCTCACCTGCAAGGAGCTTACTTCAAAAAATAGTCAGGCATCTTGCCAAATGAGTGCTAAAGAAGACAGGTATGTTCATAAAGGTTCGGGTAGGAGAGCTGCTTTAGAAGAATGCAGTGTTGGATGTGGGTGCTTCATGCACAGTAGATCTAACCCTGCATTCCTTTACACTGTTACTATTTATAGCCCTTTATTGCCTTACAATAACTTTTCYAGCRAAAAATTCTACGTAGCAAATAGTTGAGCAAACTGCTTTCTACAAGCCAACTCGAGAAAAATAACCACTGTCTGGCAGCAAAACAAGTGCTTCAAAGTCAGGCCCAATGGGTTTCCTTGCTTTCCTGTATGGTTTGGAAAAGTTGTTCCTTCTTTTGGCAGTCAGTTTACCACCCATATTTTCTGGCTGCTAAGTCATGCTTATCTAGCAAACAGGAGAAGGAGCTGAATAAATATTTTGAAAGCAATCTGAAATCCTCAGATAAAGGAGAACGCACGGCCAGATATTCAGAAATACATGTGTGTATAYGTTTTCTTATATTTTGAACATTCTTGGATTATATTTCCTATATTTTGTTCAAATATTGCAGACTTTATAATCTAAATAAAAGACAAATAATTTGTAAGTGAAAGAAGATCTTAACTCGCATATGTCACTCACGTTTAATACTTGTAAAATCGCAACCACAGAATGAACACAAAAAAAGAAAACACCGCATTAGCCATGAGTAACTGGAGCTTTGGAAAAAAAACCTTGCCTATTTATTTGTGATGAGCAGTGTTATTTGCAGTGCTGTAGTCTTGATTTGCAGCCGGTACCTGCAGGAATTGCAATGCATTCCGTTATAAGGCAGGTCTGGGTTTTGGGAACTTTATGTTGCATTTGTTTGCTTTTGAAATGGCCACAGAACTGCAGACAGACTTGTTTGGGGATACACTTGCAAGAAAGAAATCACTGAAAAGAACAGCAAAGGGCTAGTTGTTAAGCAATATACTTTTCATAGTCCAGGTGGAATCCCTTCCTACATGGGAGCCATGCTGTTTCCCTTTCAATGCTCTATAATAACATGAGTTGAAAACGTACTCTCCAAATGGCATCCTGCGAGTCTGCAAAGTGCAGCGCTCCATTCAGCCTCACTGAAGTCCTGAGCATTGCCTGAGGAAAGCCCTTCTGTCAGGCATTGCCCAGGCTAAAGTGGCTCAGCACTTCTGCTGTTTTTGTGGATATTGTTGCATTTACCAAGATAGACAACAGCAACCTGAGCTTCCCCATTTGCTGTGCCTTTGGTAAGCGTGAAAACATTAATAAAAGACAGAGCCCCACTGGTTCTCTTYTGCCTCAGCGCTGCCTCATGGCTAATACTCCTTCTCAGCTCCTTMTTTCTACCGCACAGTCCATAGGTTCAGCCTTCACCCATTAGCTGCACAGTAATACATATATACCAAACATGAATCAAATTTCCTGACCATCACTTACACAAAAAAAAACCCCTTTAAGATGCAAATATTACAGTGTGTCATTACTACTGATTAACAGCAGGCAATCTGCATTTTCCGGGTATTAAATAGCACTGAACATGCTAAAGAACAAACCTTTTGGTCTCTTAGRGCCCAGTTCTGGAAAATGAGAGGTCTGGYTCCCGCTGACTTTGCTGGCAGATAAGAACGCAGCTTTGGAAGGATGAGCTTCAAATTAGATTTTTTTTTTTGTTATTATTATTACTTTCTGGATCCATAATAAGCACAGCTGTTTACTTATGTGCAGGCTATGTTTAAAAAGACATTAGAGGTTAAAATCTAATTTTCTAATTTCAATAGTATGTGCAAATGGGATTGCTGCTGCTAAAATTTATAGCATAATACAAAAATCCATAACCTTCCTTATCTCTCTTTTCATACTGTGCATGTATATTATAATATATAAATGCGCACTGACATTGAACAGAATCAACAAGCTTTTTAAAAGGTCTGTTCAAAAATGAATATGGTAGTCCAAATATGACACAAAGCATATGATATTTTGCTTCGTCTCACGATATCAAAAACTGGCAAATCAGTTTTTGCCATACCCAAGTGCAAACCAGGAAGAGCTCACCAATTCTAAAACAGTTGCTTCTATTATTGCTCTCATTCAAAACATATTGCCACTATGTGGCAATCCTCCTAGCTAGATGCACAGAGCTGTATCAGCAGAGATGGGAAAAAAGTCCTCTCATTTTTTTCTAGGAAGAATGCATTGTACCATAAATGTTTTTTTTTCCCTTAATTTATGTTGATTGCATTTTCCTCATTCTACATTTTGTACCTGAATGTATAGTAATTTGGCCATCTACTAAAGAATTAGTGAACATTTATAATTTTCCTTTTTTTTTTTCCCCACACTACAAACAATTCAAGCTATTAGAGGAAAGATTATTTGTGCAGACATTTGTTGTCTGCTGTACATCTTCATACAGATACTAATGTAGAGAGATGATTCTTCTCCTTAGAATTCTGTTACACTCCAAAGAGTTTGTAAAGCGAGTTCAGCTCTTCTGCTTTGCAAGATGCAGGGACACCAGGGAAGGCTATTTCATCCTTTAGCACATGTATCCTTTTGTAAATATCATGTCATATGTATATAATAATACAGTTTAAGAAAACAATATTTATGTATAAATACACAGCAAGTAAAGCATTAGTTTGCCAGTCTAAAGGACTAAAACATGAAAAACATAAACGCTGCTAGAAAGCAGTAAAATAAGGACAGCCTTTGAAGGCTCATAGTTTAAAAGTGGAGAAAAGATACTTTCAAGGCTTATGAATATTATGACAGCTGCTTCAGTGCTGCTACCTTTCCATTGTTTCAGTATTTATAAAGTTTTCATTTTTTTTTGTAATGCCAAAAGAAATCTCATGGAAAAATAAAGTAGTAATCAAGGGAAAACAATCTAACGCAGGACCACTCGGCCTCAGAAAACAAAATTACAAGGAGAGAAATTAAGTGACSTTTACTATACACACATCAAAATAGTTAAGTTAAAAGAATATTCTCACTTAAGAGCCATATAAGTGGGAAGSGGGGGGCTCCAGGATCATAGCATCATAGGAGAGCACGTAGCATCATAGGAGAGCCAATAGTTCTAAGCTACATGTGAACATACGGGAAAAAAATGAAAAGCACTCAGAAAAGGAAAGTTAAAGGAAAAAGGAGAAAGATATGAACAATCTTAGAGAGACAGAAAAACAAAAATAATTCTTAAAACAATTACAGGTCTGGGAAAAACCTGAAGTGCATAACTACTTGATAGTTACAGAGAAATAGGGGCTGAGATTATTCCATTTTAAACACTGTGCTTAGAAACCTACCCCAAGCACCCATGCCAGATCACAGCTTAGAGAACAAGGCCCAGAAACACTTAAGAAAAAGAAGTTGTGAGGGAAAGAGAAGCGAGCAAGACAGTACCATTAAGATATTTTTTTTTTTTTTTTTTGAATCTTAGTATTACATGTTAAAGTTCAGAAAACTGTCGAGCGCAGAACTCAAAGTAAAATAGAGCACCAACATATATGTTCACTGCAAGAAATTACAGAATATTGGGAATAGAGATGAAAATTATCTGAAAGCCGAGGGCCCTAAGTTGCAGAAAAGGTGGTTTTTTGGGTTTTTTTTTTTGTTTGTTTGTTTGTTTGTTTTTTTTAAAGAGGAATGATACCTTAACTTCTACTCAACAATATAGTGAGTGTCTTAGTACAACATCAAAGGAAAGAAAAGAGGAAAAGGTAGTCGCAGTAGTTCACAGCAGTCTTGTAGCAAGGAGGCAGGAGGTCATACTGAGCAGAGTATAATTCCGGACAGAACAAACTATTTCCCAGAAACACACACCTAAGAGTGGCAACTGATACTGTTATCATCTGAGTTCCTTAAAAGGTAAATCTACCAAGATTAAAAAAAAAAAAAATAGATGCAGCTATATACAAAAATCTGTTTTTCAAATCTATTTTAATTTCCTAACAGATCAAAACTTACATATTAAACACACATAAAAAGTAATAAAGTCAAATGACACACTCACACAAAGTTCCTGTAGCTTCAATCTGATCATCTGTAAAAGTAGATCTGTGGTTTTTGTTTACATTTTTATTCAGAATGAAAACAAGATTAAAAATTGCCAAGTTAATCAAGTTCTGYATAGAGCATAATTTTCTGCTTAAACAGAGAGAAATAACAAATTACATTTTTATTCTGAATGGCATGCAAGTTTGTATAAATTCTAAGTTTACTCTTCCTTTTTAACAGCTTTGAACATTTACATTCAGTAAACAACACATGCAGGGAAAAAGTCAGTCAGGCCCTGTTGTCCATCCAAGCTAAGTTCTTGAGGGTTTGTCTTCTCCTTGCTCTTTTCCTTCTGTGTGCCAACATACCACTTGGGATGAGCACAGCATCAGCATTTMTGGCCATCCTGTTCCAGAGCTAGATATGGTTTCTTTCTCCACYGAATGGGCTATAATTCCAAAGCATTCCTTATTTCAGTTTTTCTGTTTTCTCCGAAGCATTTTCCTTGCTACTCATGGAATCTGAAACACATTGCAGTGAAGAATATMAGTATTAGAAACAGCACCCTAAGAAGTGGTGTATTTTTCTAGCATCTTTGTATGTTAAAACATACTTGACCTTTTTCTCATACTTTTACTGTTCCTTCTTGTCCTGCTCCTAAGAGCATCAGCATCTGACCCACAGTTGAACTGCTCTTGCTAGGATAAAAACACTGCTTGCTTGAATCTTGAAGTCTGGGCCACGTTATTCCAGCAGTATGTCTTGATGACTTGCAATTGCACTGACGCCATGAACACTGGATACTTGGTATAATGTCTGGAGTCCACCAAAGCCAGGCAAAGTGCTGATAAACTAGTGAAAGCAAGAGCAGGGAAAATGCCAGAGGAAGAAAAGCTGGGCCACAAGTTGTAGCTTGTTGAGCTATTGTTAGCTTTCCATGCTCCGATTTTTCACAGTTGCTCTTAGAATATTTATTTTTGAGAATAGTAGTCATCTTCGTGCAGGTAACTTGGATACTACAAATGTGCCAAATACGGTACTTGACAGAGTGTCCTGCTCTGATGCAACAACTTGGTTTTTTGGGAGCTCTATGGTTAGACTGTCATCCTGTTGGTAATTTTTCCTTGTCATTTTAAACTAGGTCATACAACAGAYGAGCACAAAAACATTAGACAGAAAGTGTAGCATATCAGTACTACCACCTCACATGACTCTAGTGCAAAAACAAATGCCACTCACATGGCAAAAAAAAATATGAGAAAGCTTGAGTATTCACACTCATGACCACACAGYTAATGACCATTATTAATAGAACCAAATTTGCCAGTACTCACCACAAACTGATATTTTAATCCAGGCTAGCTGGAGTTAACGCTCTGCCGGAACAATAAGAAATGCTAATAATTGATGTGTGCAGCTATTGCAGCCCGGCTGAGCATGGTAGGGATGAACGCGTTCGGAGCAGGTGCTCGGCAGCTCACACAAACACAGCTTGTTTGGTCAGAATATGGGAATCTGCTCAGTTGTTCGTACGAGTTAGGAATACTTAACAATTAACAGGGAAATACTCCCTATAGCAAGCAAGTGTGGTCTTGATTACATGTAGCAGACAAAAGTGTCTAATGTATCACTGACAGAACCGAGCACAAACAAGAAAGGGAAGGTAAGACAAAACTAATTAAGCAGCATAAAGAGAAAATAAAACATACGCTGGTTCTTATGCAAGGACTGGGGCTCTTTTTGTTGTCAGTGTTGCTGCTCTCTTCCTTTTTTAAGCTTTTCTAGAAACAGTGCCATACGGTACACTTTGCTAAGCGCCTGGATTATTTGTATAGTGCAAAACAGGAAAGCTGTGGTAAACAGGTACCGATGAGCAGATGAATGCACTAAAGTTATTAATATTCTCACTAAATACATTTCCAGCTGCTACAGATAAGTATTACACATAGTTGAAAACTATTACCTTCTTTGAATTCAAATTCACATCAAGAAATCTTTAGTAGGAGACCAGAAAGGGCTCATGCATGTTACATATATGTAATGAAAGAATAGGAAGCCAACAGCAAAGCATCATTTCTATTGCCTCTTAGCTTCCTTAAGGAGTGTACATATACAAGTTGTGGAGACCAGAAGTCACAGAGCAACTAGCTTAAGATATACATGGTATAAACAAAATCTCCCAAAGGAGACAGTAGGCTAGGTGATATAAGGTTTAGCATTGCAACAGTTTTTCACCACAAACCTAAGGGATTTCAGGACTAGGCTGCAAAGGCCTAATGAGAGAAGCATTCATGATTCATGACCCTGGATGARGAGGAACATAAACAAATCACTGAAAAACAAACCACAAGCTCAGCAGACATCATACCATGTGGTTTACTACATTAGGAGTTTGGCTAATAAGGTGATCTTTTTAGCAACAATGTAGCAATTTCAAATAATAAAACCCACTAAAAAATTAACCATAACATCAAATGTTTTAATAATGTTCCCCGTAATGACTGTTGACATGGGAAATAAATCATCAAAAGGATTTCTGAAGAACAAATTTAACAAAGAAATATGTAATAAGAGCAGCTTAGATGGTTATATTCAGTACATAGACTTAAAAAGTAATTCTATTTCTCCCACATTAAATATTTAAATTCTCATAAGGAACAAAGAGTGTGGGAGAATCTTCAGGCATATTACATTTCCAAGAAAGGATGTTCCTAGGATCCAGCTAATGTCTACATCTGCAACTATTCTGCTGTTTGGCCTCAAACTAATTGTAGCAGAAAATTAATTACGTCCAACATTTCTAACTTAAATTTTTAAAATGAAGCTTGACCCTGAAGGGCAGAAGTTGCTCAGCATGTTCCATATTGAAGCTCTGTGTGGCCTGATTTTTCAGAATTGCTTGACTTGTCTAGCACATTAGCTTCTGATAGAACCAGATGGCATTTAGGTCTCAGTATTTCAAGGCACCTTGACACAGATCCCTAAACGTGCCTTTGAAATTTAAACTGATTTTAATACCTCCGAGGATCCAGCCCTTGGKTACAAAATGGCATGTATTAAATGTGGACACCAGCATTTGGAAACTTCAGCTTAAACATGAAATTGCATGCATGTAMGTATACGAGTGAGTGCGTCCCATGTGCGTGCACACATATACCGTACAGATATGTATGCACAATTTAAGCAGCAGAGAACAAAGGAAATAGTACAGTCTTTCACTTATATCTTACATTTATATGAAAAGCTCTATTACTTAAGTCTTTTTTTCCCCCCTCTTCATTTTACCATTTGTGTTTTTTTTAAGAAATTGCAAGGTTGAAATCTGCAGAATAATATGTATGCAGYGCATTCTAAATGTGCCAGAGATATCAACACTGTGTATTCAACTTTTATAAACAATAACTGGAATGGAAGAAAAAGGACCATGAGAAATATTAATATATATGATTATATACATATCACACAAACTACACAGTCTCCCTGAATTTTAATCATTAAAGGAAAACAGCTTAAAATTATGACATGTAGACTTACCAGGCTACAACTTAAACTCTTCGCTAAACTTGTGTATCCAACAGGTGGAGAAGTCACAGTTAGTTCAAGAAGGCTCATCATTGCAAAAGGGCTACTGGAATATTCTCTAAAAGGGCCTTTTTCCAACATCAATATTCCTAACTTGAAACTGACAGTTTCTGAAGCATATCATAAGCAAACACACATTCCTTATACTTGCTAGAGAATCTGTAGGAAGGCTTTTGGAAACTGAAATCAAATGTCATCTCAGCTACAGCATCTACTCACCATTGAACTCAGTCTTGTATTTATGCAACTCAATTTACCTCAAATATCATTTTATAGACCTTTTTGTTGCAACTTTTTTTATAGTTTGATATGTTTATGCCAGCCTATGGCTTAATATTGAATTGATAACTTCCACTAGCAGAAAGTTTACAGATAGACCATCTCAGTTTCACTGAAACAATCAGTGAAGTGCTGCTAAGGYGAAAATCACAGCAATCTCTTACTTCAACCTGCCACAAATACTCTATTCATCTTGAGCTACTTTACTGCAATAATTCAAATAACTCACAACACTCTCTGTCCTTTATCCTGCTGTGAAATGAGTTCTACAGCCTTAACAGACATGGCACGTGGATAGGAAAAAAAAGCGAATAGAAAGAAAAGGTCCTAGCGCATTTTAATTCTTCCATTGGCCTTTTAAAGGCTCCATCTTCAAAAATAAGAAATAATCAGTTGTCAAAAGTACTAATTTCTCCATCTAAATCTATATTTTACAGTACTGCAGCATTTGGACAATTTCTCTGCTTTTGTTACAGGTCTTGACTATTTTTGTAGTTGAAATAATTAAGTCAGAAAGAAAGAATAGACTGCAGAAGGGTCAAGACGCCACATTAACTAGTGTGGTGAATATCATGTGCTAAACAATAAACAATCCTGTTTTCTGTGTAATATCAAAGCCAAGACTTACCACACCATAAACACCTCACTAGAATATTYGTTGTTGGGAGGATGCTCATGCAAGCCTCAGAGGTCAGAGCAGGTGGGGGTCACCTCCTTGCTGGCTGCCCTGAAAATCCAAATGTAAAAAGACTGCTTGAGTCTCTCAGACTGATGTCTATGCATTGATATCAGCTCTGGCTTGTTATTCAAGATACTAGCAATGTAAAAGCCTTTTACGATGTTCATTCATTTAAAACTCCCATCAAGGCATCACACAAACTATTTTTCCTTCTGAAAYGTAAGGATTAATGTTTATACAGAATAATCTACAGAGAATAGAGGTTTTAAATTGACACCCACTTTATTTTGAAGGCAAATTATTGAGGCAGTTGGAGTCTCAATGCAGAGGAAACGAAGATGTTGACCTTTTTAAGCTGTTCAGTATGATCTTTACTGTGAAATAATAATGATAATGATGGCACTGATGACAACACTTACTGATCTGAGCTACTCAAAATGAGGAAAAACACATCCTCACTTTTGACTTAAASGGAGCTGTTAATCCTTACAGGATCTTCTCTAGCATACAATCAATAAAATTACAACCTCCCCCCCCCCTTTTTTTAATCAGTATTCCTCATAGGAGGCAGCAAACAAAAAGTGAACAAATTACTTGACCCCGCTATAAAGTATTTAAGAACTCAGCACTTAAAGCAACTACTGTAATAAATACATCAGCCCATGCAATTTAACTTATTTAAAAGTATGATGCATTTGAATCATTCTGACTCTGCTCTCGTGAACATGGATAAAAATATTTCAAAGCAACAAATTGACTGCAAAGCTGGAAAGAGGCCAGAATCTGGCCCTTGTTGGCATGCTTCACAGCCATACAAATGATTATATCTATTAGAGTCTGCAATTTTTTTCTGGTAGAGCTTGGTGAGACATTGAAAATTGGCCTTTGCAGAGTGCTAAAAATACACAACAAAGAGGMAAGTTGAATGAACAGAGAAATGGACAACATGATCTGACAGGCCTCTACAGCCTCCGCTTTGTTATCTTATGGTTTTATCAATGGGGAGTGGAGAGAAATTCCATTACTTTCCCAACCTTAACCAGTCATTGAATGTCAAGTATATTTTAAAAAAAAATTACAAAAAAAACACAAGCAAAAAGCCACTATCACCCCCCCTCCACACACAATCAACACACACAAGGTGTGAGAATCTAAGCCCACAAAATCATTTCACTGTTAAATACACTCGAGCTAATTATATCACTTCCAAGCCTAAATTTGCTCTCTTCTGTTGTTATCGTAACTTGGCAAGGAAAACATTTGGAGTAAAATGCCAAAGACCACTGCAAACACCAACAGGATGAAGGTTAAGTTAAYGATTGTATTTTCTCACTTGTGTTTTGTATCTTATTTCAAAGGTGAAAGATCATATGCTTACTCAGAACTGTAATTTACCAGGTATTTCCTTGATATTCATCAGGATTTTTTTTCTCTTCAAAGAAAGATACATATATAGACATCATATTTTTTGCTTTTCTCTAAGACTAACACAATAATGTTCACTACACAAAGAATACCATAATTTAACATAAAACAAWCAGAACAAAATTACTTAATTCTAATGTTTAATGTTGAAATGAAAAATRTTTAATAACCATAAATGTAATGCTAATCAGTCATACTTTATTCAAATATCACTCTGACTCATTGATGACTATTTATATGAGAAAACTAGGCTCCTCTGCATTCTAGTATATTTATGTTCTCTAAAATTTAGAAAATTTTAAAAATGCATGAATTACTGCAGGTCTCCTTTTATCCAGAAGAAAATCATGCTTCTGATCTAGCTTGACAAATTTTATGCTGGAAAACCGATTTTGTAAATTGGTCAAGAAAGATCCAACTTGGGATTTTTTTTTTTTTTTTTTAAACATAACATGTGGATAGAATCCTTTACTTATGCCCACAGAAATATAGACCTCATCTGAAAACTAATGCCTGTCTTAGTTAAGAAAGATTGCATTTACATGCCCTTATAATAACAAAGATAAGCTAGTTGAACATATACTAGCTGTTTAGCTTGCTGTATAAAAAGTATATGTATTGTGAAATAATTTGTATTTCCTACACCTGTCTACTTTTAATTGTGTTCCTTGCAAAACATTTCTGCAAAATCTTTTCTACAGTTAGCCACTGCACGTGTACGAAACAAAATGACCATTAGAAGTTATCCTCAGTAATGTTGTTTGATCAGATATAATAAACCAATATTAAGTTTCCTAGTCCCTCCAAGTGGTGGTGAAGCCATTATTTGCATACATAGATATGTCTTTCAAGTCCAGAAAACTTGGTAAGACCAAGACATSTAAATTATCTTTTTTCTTAGTTCTGTTTTCATATGTCAACAAACAGTTCTCAAAATATCTTTGACATCTGAAGAGGTTCTATGSTTTATTTGTGCCTTTTATTAGCAACATAACATAATCAACTGATAGCCTTGAAGTTTCTGGGTGAATTATGAAGCAGACAGAGATGTGGGTGCCAGTTTTCTCATACACTATGCATTTAATTATTTAACTTCTCCAGAAGATTCTGGACTAACAACGCCAGCATAAATTCCTCTTCCAAAGCATACAGTGTAATAAGCGCTTTGTTTTTATTATGAAGCGGCCGAGAGCAGAGTCAGCTGAGAGTTGAGTCCTTCRAACCATTTTTCCTCAAAGAAAGTCAAGTCCAGCAATAGTCTGCATCATGAGGGCTGTGTTACTATTGCAATGATCTTTAATGTCATCACAGCATGACTCAACCAAGGCTCTCAACACAGAGAAGTCAGATAGTTCAGGTATGATTCAAGCTCCAAGTATCAACAGAGCCTCACATACAAAATGGCAATTGTGCTGAAGTTCAAACACAAAGGAGCAAAATCACTCTAACGGTTACTCAGTCACAAAGCACATTTGAGGTAAACAATATTAGGATTCCGATCATTTGACTACCAAGTTGTCTGTTTTCTCCTTTTCAGTAAACATTGGCATCTTTTCTTTTCGACAAAAAAAAGTCACAATTTTCTGCCCTCAACATAACCATAGTTATTATTAGCCGTATGTGAAGAAGATAAAATGTAAAGGTACTAAGTCAAAGAAAAAAGCTCAAAAAATTCCTACTTCATAAAAAAAATTGAGTCCATGATTAGAGAAAATAGATGAGAARAGACACTTCACATAATCCAAGTCTATGATAATGCCAAGGCAATGTAGAACACTAATGGCTTTAGACAAACTATCATTGAACTATCATCTCATCTGCAATGAGAAAGGAGTATTGTTATTATTACTAGAGTAGCATTTTGGTATAAAGACTATATAAAATGTGTGTGTGTGTACATATATATTTTCTAAGAAAAGAGATAATGATAGCCTTCAAGTCCACATTTTCATACCATTCGATAAATGACTGAGCCAGAGGCAGAATATCTAGTAAAAAAGGAAGGGGAAGTAACAAACAATGGCAAAGCAGATGGTGAAAAGCATGAAAAGAGGAGGAAGAGACGAACAATTAGAGAGAATATATTCACCTCAGTTATACCAGTTCAAACCTTGTGTATTCCGGACTAGCACTATTACCAAAACTATAAAAATAAATGCAAGAGACTCAGTCTTCAGCCTTATTATTCCTTGACATAGCTCTGGAGAAATATCCCTTGGGGAGCTTCAGCTCACTGATGAAATTGTTTCTCAGGAATTTAATAATTATCAACATGACTGGAAAGAAAGGACTATAAAAATACCCATATTCTATTATCTTTGTCTAAGTCTAAAATAATTATCTTTTGTAATTATGATGTGTAGAGTGAGTCTCAGAATACAATGCCGTGATGTTCTGGGACATGCACTGCCTTTACACAGAAAGTGAAATGAAGAACATGATTTTCATACTGGTTGGTATGTTTTTTTAGCTGTTAATGTGCACTGTCTCTGCAGTTCCTTTATGTTCCCTTATTTATTTGTAAAGCATCAACCACACCAAGAGCACCATAAAAATGAAAACAGTACCTGTGAGGGAAGAAAAACAACATCCTGTGTTATTTGACCATTTCCTAAGTTTCAAAAAAAAGAAACCAGGTATTAAAATTGATCTTTCATCTCATCAGATGAGATCTTCCCTTGCTGCACCTGACACAGTCAGTATGGGTTCGGTGCAGCTTTAATTTCTTCTCTGTAATTTGTCTAAGATGTTTAACAAGGATCACTCTTGAATACTCAAATTTTTATGGGCCCTTCCACCACCTCTTGTACTACTACACTTTTTGCACASTGATGGTTTGTTATATACATATATATACGGGCGCACAGACACACGCACCCTTGTATAGTGAAACCATTCTTTACAGACTTCTTACAAATGGCCTGAAATCAAGAGAGTATACTTAATAACAGCACTGATTTTATGCCAGGTGCAGTTTGAATAGAACCTGCTTAAGACACTTCCTTCCCATKATATTGAAATCAGTTGCTACAATTAGATATATAGCAACACTTTTCAGTATTAGCTGCTGTGTAATCTCCCTAGCCTCCACAAATACTCACCAGGAAGGGAACAGAAAATAAATTATAAGAAAAAAAAATAAAAAGAAGCCTAGGTTTAAAAAAAGTGTACTCTTTGAGAAAAACTAGTAAAACTCTACGTCAGATTAGTGCTTAATCACTTCTGGAGTTGTTCAGTTGCCCTTCATCATCATAATGACAACAGTTTACACAATGTAGTTCTTAACAGGCTTGTTCTATCTGAACATGCTTGCACTCTTCCCCTGCAAAAAAGACTACAATGAACCATTCAATTTACTTTCTTATCACATAAAACAATCACTGGAGATTAATATAGTAAAATAACTATGATAATAAATAAAAACACTGTGATGCTGATCAAAAGTTCATAAACTGGAAATGCCTTCTTCTGTCCTCACAAAAATAAAACTGTACCACCTTCAGAGGTGCTTTCAAAAGTGTTTCAAACCTGCCTATGAYTGTATCATAGACCTACTACAGGTCTACAGAACCTACTCATGGTTTACAGAACTTGTGTTGACCTAAGGTTCACTTCCTTTCAGA